TATTAAAAATCATCTTACCATGTCAAGACGAACTCCCCCGTGAGGTTTTCGACCCGTGGTGTGAAGCACCTTCGTGTTGCCATGCTCGTCCTTGGTCATGCGGTTCCCGGAGTTTGTGTTGGACGTTCTGACCGAGTCCGGCAACGTCCAATAGCTGATGAGGCCATCCCACACCGTGGTTGTGAGGCAATCGGGTTTCTCGGCCTCGTAACCATCCACCTGATTAAAAAAAAATATTAGATCATTAAAGTCAATATATAATATTTTTAAAACTATATATATATTATAATTTATAAATCAATACCTCATAGTCGCCCTTCCAGTTGTAGACCGTGTCGAGCAATCGTGCTTTTGCCTTGGTCTCAAACTCCTTCTTCACTCGCTCGTGAATCCCAATAGACCAGCGATACTTTTGCTGTAAGCAGAAAAAATAAAAGACGGATTAGTTCAATTATATTAATAATTTAAAATAATTAAAAATAAATTAACAAACTAAATTAACTTACAGCGAACGCTTTGAACCACGTCTTTTTTGTGTGGCTCGCCGTCTTCTTCCAGTTCGGAGCTGGATCGGGAAAGTATCCCTTGATACAGTCTGTGACGCTAGATCCGACACTATTGTCACAACCAAACCTGGAAAGACACAAAATAAATCATTAGCTAGATAAACTTCTAAATATTTTGTTAATTAAGAAATAAATAAATAAATAAAAAATTTAAAAATTAAAACATACCATAAAATGTTTTGGCCGTTCCGTCGGTGAGGATCTAACTCTGCCAGCCCTTCTCTGCCTGGAAGGGCCAAAATATCCTCCACCGTGTACACCGCAAAGGGTGCATTCGGTGGCACCTGCAAATCGGGATGAAGTGGAGGAGGAGGATGAGGAGGAGGAGGAGGAGGAGGTGGCTGCTGAGTCTCGGGAACTGCCGAAGATGAACCACCGGGAGCTGACGAGGATGAACCCGGACCATCCTGACGCCCAAACATATCTCCGTAGCTTATCCCCTCGAGAGTCGACGCCCTCTTAGCAGCAGCCATAGCAATCTTGCTCTGTCTAGGCATCTATATTTAAAAAAAAAAAATTGAAAACATTAATTCCCGCATAATTTTAAAAAACAGTAACTAAAAGTAAACTAACATAATCTAAATTACGTAAACTAACCACCTAATCTAAATTCCCTAAACTAACCACCTAATCTATTCCCTAAACTAACCACCTAATCTAAATTCCCTAATCTAATCACCTAACTACGGATTAGAGAGAACCTTTAGAGGGCTTAGAGAGAAGGTTACTAGCAAATGAGAAACCGTATTGCTCGCGTATATATAAAGAATTTTGTTTCCTCGTAAAGCCCTAGTAACATTACTAGGACCTTACGAGGAAATAGCTATGCCCGCATTTTTATTTCCTCGTAATGGCTCTACTAAGGCTTTACGAGGAAACCCCTTTACGAGGAAATAGCTATGCCCGCGTTTTTTTCCTCGTAAAGCCCTAGTGAAGCCTTACTAGAACATTACGAGGAAATTGATATGCCCGTGTTTTCTATTACTAGGGCTTTACGAGGAAAGGATTTATAAATCCCTAAACTCGAAACCCCAAACCCCAAACCACAACTTCCTTAACTTATAACCTCTTCTACAACCAAACTCCTAACCTTTTCTACACATAAACCCCAAATTTCCAAAACTAAACAACCTAATATAAGTTCCCTAAACTAACCACCTAATCTAAATTCCCTAAACCCTAACCTTAAACCTAAACCCTAAACCTAAACCAACTTCCATAACTTATACCTATACATCTTCCTAAACCCCAAATCACAATTTTTTTTTAAAAAACTAAAAGAAGTATACAGTCATCGGAACGGTTTTTATCAACCCCACATAGCTTTCCTCGAACTATCTACCTGAAGAAAAGCCCCAAGATATTTCTTTGAGGAAAAGCTACGAGGAGTTGATAAGAAACTATTATGTTGACTGTGAACTCCTTTCAGTTATGAATTGAGTATTTTCTATTTGTTTGGTGTGTTTCAAATGAATCACATATGGTGGTATTTATAGAAATTTTTGAATCTGAGAATTTACTAGGAAATTGCTAGGAATAGTAGGTACAAAATTTAAATTCGATATTTTCTATCTAGTTCCTCTTAATTTCGTTGTAACAAAACTCATTCCTCTTAATTTCGTAGTAATCAATTACTAGGACTTTACGAGGAAACTGCTTTACTAGGAAATAGCTATGCCCACGTTTTTTTCCTCGTAAAGTCCTAGTAATGTTACTACGACTTTACGAGGAAATTGTTTTCTCGTAAGTATACGAGAACCTTACGAGGAAACATGGTTTCCTCGTAAACTCGAAGTAAACTCGTAGTATTTTTACGAAGAAATGTTTTCCTAGTAAATTTTCCTAGTAATGGCTTAGTTTTCTTGTAGTGTTTGCTTAGACAAAATTCTCTAGAACTACATTCTTTAGGAAAAAATGGGAAAAGCAGACATCTTGAACTATGATTTGGGAAAGTAAGATTTGTACAATATTTTTTAGTTAACTAGGATTTATATTTTTTTTAAATATTATTATACCCCTTAATTTACATAATTAAAATTGAATTTCGTAATATAAAAAAAAAAGAAAAAAGTAGAAAAAAAACAAAGTAAAAAAAAAACAGTAAAACGTTAAAGGGATAAAACGGTGTGTTTTACATTTACCCTACTTTCATCACTTTCTCCTCTTCCCCGAAACCTTCAGACGGCGATAATGGAGATTTAGGTTAAGTCTTGCTTCTTTCTCCTCTTACTCGTTTATCATCGATTTTCTGCTCTATAATCTTGTTTTCTCCCTTATTCTCTTTGTTCTCAGACATAAATCGAGTAGATTTATTCTTCCTCTACAGATCTCGTTCATCCGATCTTCTTCTTCCTAGTACGAGTTTTTTCGGAGGGTCCCTTCACACTCTGTCTCAAGGTTCTCATACAAATGTCACTAGGTTTGCGATTACTTCTTTTGATTCTGTTAACCCTAGATTTCTTAAACTCGATTTGGTTTATTTGTTAAACTATGATTACTTGTATGGGTTTAAGCTTCTTATCGACGACGATTTAGTCATGCATGTTAATATTTTTTATTTGTATTTGTAGAGTATCTATTTAGGTTTGCTTGAAAGAGAAAAAAATTGAAAAAGACAAAACACACTTGTTCAAATGGACTGATAAGTCAGTTGCTGAAGAAATTGAAAACTTGCAGGAAGTGGATGACGTGGTGCTCACTGACAAAATCCAGTTTCAGAATTCAACGAGAGCTTCTGAGATCCTGCTGAAATGCCATGAGAGTAGAATTGGAGATATGGAAGATGCAATTGCATGTTGTCAAGCGAAGACCATCGAATGCAGTAGTGAATTAAGGATCATAAATCTTTGTTTGTGTGTTGTTTGGTGATGCTATTCATTTACCTCACCTATCCATGATTGTCTGTTGATGAGTACATTGTTGTTATGTTTTTCTTTCAAATAAGTGTAAAGCTTTGTTTGTTGGTGATTATCATCGACTTGAACCAAAATGTTGCAAACACCAAATCATTTTGTCAAATACCAAATTGTCAAATAGTGTGTTGAACATAAATTCCAAAAGTGTAACAAGCAAAAAAGAGAGAACAACGACCACACACCATTAACTAGATAGGAACATCACATGTTCCTCTCTTGTGTTCTGCGACACCACAACAATTGCACTTGTGCTTTTTATTCTTCTTTGATCCTTGGGAAGATTTTATCTTGTCTTCTATTGTTTCATACCTTCTCTTTACTAGTCTACCAGGACTCTTTGTTGTCTTTGGTGGTAATACCTTTGCCAGTTTTACCTCAGCTGGGACATTCCATTCATG